CGCAACGGTAATTCAATTTAGTACGAGAGGAACCGTTGATTCAGATAATTGGTTTTTGCGGCTGTCTGACCAGGCAGTGCCGCGACGCTACCATCTGCCGGATTATGGCTGAACGCCTCTAAGTCAGAATCCGTGCCGGAACGCGGCGATTTCGCCCCGCACGTCGTAGTTGGATACGAATAGGCCTCCGGGCCACGCACCTCAGCAGGCTGGCGACGGCTCCCCGGGAGAAACCCTGGGGGGCTGGCTGGCGGATTGCAATGTCACCTCGCGCGGGGATAGATCCTCTGCAGACGACTGAAGTGACCAAGCGGGTCGTGTAAGCGGTCAAGTAGCCTTGTTGCTACGAGTCGCTGAGCGTCAGCCCGACCTTGGCTAGATTTGTTGGTTAATACCTCCCCATCATGGATCCGGCAGCGCCGGGTGCCTGGAGGGGAGCGGGGATCGCGCGGGCTTCGGCCCGGTGCGTTCGGCGGGAGGCAACTCGCCAGTTGGCGCCCGGCGGACTTGGTCGGCCTTTATAACCAGGGTGGCCTCGGCGGGGGGGATCCACGCTGGGCAGGCAGAACTCGCCAGTTGGTGGGGCCCATGCGGGACAGCCACGGCGCTCGCCAGTTGGCGGCCACACGGACTTGGCGGGGGCCCAGGTGTGGCGTCCCGGGGGTGGTGGCCAGGACTCGCCAGTTGGCGGCCCCAAATTTCCGGTTGCTTTCTTTGTTGCCTTCTGTTCTTTTTTTTTCTTGAGAGAGAGAGAGAGAGAGAGAGAGAGAGAGAGAGAGAGAGAGTTGCATTATACACCGTTTATCAGCTCCCAAAGGGCTCTTCCGGTGTCGCTGACGGCCGCTGCTGCTCGCCACTGAGGTGGTATATATTAGACCTGTACATGGCCCATGGGCCGGCCCATTTGGGTCGGCCCAATTGGGCCATTGGGTCAAAAACCCGGCCCATAGCCCATTAATGGGCTGGCCCAAAACGGCCCAATGGCCCAAAGATAGGGCTTTTTCTCAGGGCTAACATGCGTTGCATAAAATATGAAGATTAAGCGAGATCTTGGCTGTAATGCTGTGGTTTCGATAATAAAGTGATTCTGTGATACAATAGTGATTTTTATATTGAATCAGATACAGTGAGAGCAGAGATGTGAATGAAATTATAGATTATATTAAGTAGTATATCCCTGTAGCCGTATCGATGGTATCCGGGCCCTCCCTGAAGCACGCTGAGTATTAGATTGCTTAGGTAGTAGAGGCTCTTCTTCCGCAGAGCCTCCTGCCTCATCTGATGTATCCTCTTCAGCTTCATAATTATCTCTTTTTCGCTTTGTATGATGCTGTAGAGGAGTCTTCTCCTTCTCCTCCTCCTCCTCCTCCTCCCCCTCACTAATCTCTATGATCTCCTGTAGAATATGCTTTGTGGTATCCTCCTGTTGAATATCTATCTCGTACTCTGTTTTATATTCTCGTATAAAAGCAAGTTGCTCCTCCTCAATATCAAATCGATTAGCACACATGAGCAGCATGAGATCCTGAATAGTCGTTGCATGGAGAGAGCCGCGGCGATAATGACAGATATCGCGGGCAGAATTGAATAAGCGTTCTACACCTGCACCGGTAGCGGGGACAGAAAGCATGTCTCGAGCAATTGCTGCAAGCACTGGGAACTGCTGCTCATGGTCCCTCCAGAAATCAAGTGGGGAAGTGAGTATAGTACCTATTGAATGAATAGTTAGAGAGGTATGTATTGAAACTGTGTTTTGGGAGAATACTTACCCCCCTTCAGATACTGATGGAGCTCTGAGAGTGGTACTGCGGGTCGAGCTCTATAACTATCAAGCAATATTTCAATCTCTTGAACAGGCTGTGGGTAAGAAGGCCCTTCAGATTGTGAGCAAGTATCATGGAGTTGAACTTCATAGGCAAGAATTTGCTGCTCGAGTGCTGCTTTATATTCACCTGCAAAGTCCTTATCTTGCCACTCAGGGGTCTGAAAGAACTCAAGCTTATACTGCGGCGCTAAGATAGTTCCATTGGTATATATGTTGATAAGCCCTGGAGTATCGGTCGCTGAGTAATAGTCCTTGAGCTTATCTCTTGCTTTTTCCAGTGCCTGAAGCATCTGACGTTTCCATAAGATCTTCTTGTGGCACAACTGACGCTGGCGGCTTTCAAGATGCTCAAACAGACGATTATAGATACTGAAAACCATGTGAATTGTAATGCCTTTGGTTTTTGAGAGAGCGGTGGTGTATTGATAGAATGGCTGCGTAATGCAGATCAAATAATCAATCTGCTGCCACTCATCTCTACTCAGCTGAAGATCAGTATGGTGATCTGCCACACAGTAGGTATTAAGATAGGACTGAAGTCGCTTTGCCCGGCGGAGCATCAGAAATGTTGAATTCCAGCGTGTTCGTACATCTTGAATTGGAAACAGTTGAGAGCCTTCAGGCTGAAGGTTCCTAAAATTCGCACGGCGCTGAGGGCTTGCATTAATAAATACAGCAAGGTTTCGAATCTAGGTAAACCATAATAGAATTAGTAGAGATTCGGAGAATAGTGAGGGTATTAGATCATCAAACCTTGCGAAGGGTGCTGGCTATACTGTACTCTTTTGCTATTTGACGTGCTTTCTGCATATGCTCTTCTGACCAAATAGATTCAACATTCTCATTGACAGGGTTTGCTTTTATTTGACCAAGGAGCTGCTTAAGGCTCAACTGAATGACGTGAGCAAGGCATGGTACTCTGATAATAATGGTATCAGAGCTCAGGCCTTGAGAGAGATGAGTTTCCTGGAGAGAAGAAACAAGGGTTAAGTTATTGGACGCATTATCAGTAGTAATAGCCAATACTCGCTCCTTAATCTCATACTCTCGAAGTAGTTCAAGAACCTCTTGACTGAGATTTACCCCAGTATGCTCACCCTCAAGAGGTTTAAAATCAAGTAAAACCTCTCGGTATTCCCATTCTGAATCAATAAAATAGCCAGATACTGCCATAAAGGCTTGTTGAAAGGGCGAGGTCCAACAGTCCAGACTAATTGAAAGCTTTGCATGCTTTGGCAATTTCCGAAGTATCTCTTTCCGACGATCTTTTGCCTTTGTTTGAATCTGACGTTGTAATGTTACGCGAGAGGGCATATTGATAGGAGAGGGAGCTCGCTGAGCTAGTCGGATAAGCTTCAGAAATTCAGGGTGTTCGATCGTTGTAAAGGGAAGGCGTAATGTAGATATTGTTGTAATAAGTTGCTGTTTCCATCGGTTCTCGTTGAATGCTTCAGGGGCTATGGCTGCCTAATCAAGAGAGAGAAGCATTAGATGGTTTTCCGGCTGGAAAAGAAGGTCCTTACCTGATGCCGTAGTAGCCGCTGTAGATGAGACCCTTTCCCTTGCGCTTGCCCTCTGGCCTGGCATGTTTGACGTGTAAGATGGCGGCGTAACGCAGTAGTTCCATGTGCGCTCTTACTAGAACGACTTATAGCATTGGGGTGGTGGAGAATAGCACCACATCGCTTGCACATCATCATTGGCTTCCCAGTAACACAGTGAGCAACCTGGTCGAATGAAGCCCAGATATCTGCTCGGCAGCCCTTTGTATCCCATACTCTCGCATCCTCAGCTTGCCCAGCAGATGTACGAAGCCACCATTCAACAAACTCTTCCTTGTTCATTGCTTCGAATATTATGTGGTTGTTGATAGGTTTAAGACACCCTGGGATCTTGATAGGTTGGAAAGACTGTGTTGTTTGACTTGCAGAGTGCTCAGGCGCAATACTGTCAGAGTAAAGATCCAGGAAAGATGAATCATCAACATCACATGCCTCGCCATCATCTATAAGGGTTATCTCTGGTAATTGGATTTCAGGCATAATGAAGAATAGGCAATTAATTAAAGAACGAGGATTGTTGAATAGATAGAAGAGAGTAGAGAAAGAGGTAACGAACTATTTTATTCTACAAGTACATACTCTCTATTTAGCTGAAAGATCAATAAAGCAGAGACTCAGGGGGGACGCGTTGTGTACGCAGCTCTAGTCTGATTAGCAACTTAGCCAGGAGACTCCCTATTAAGGGTCTCTGATTGGTTAATTTAATGGGCCAGCCCATGGGCCGGCCCATTCAGCCTAGATATTCGTGAAGTGCTATCCCCCGCGGATTAGATGTCGGCATCGAATTTTTTTTTCACCCTCCGATGTTAATATTTTAATGGATTTAAGCCACCACCAAAGTAGTATTAATCAATTTAAAAATATAGAGAATCGAATCAGACTACTGCGCTCCCTATAGTATTAAAAAATCTAAGAAAACCTAAGTTCTCAACTACATCGAATTCACAAACGATCAAAGCAAGAAGGCCTACTAGCTTGCGAGTAAAGGAATATATATCTTTTGACTTACAGTATATTTGGTGAATGGTAATCTATTTAGTAATTTGCCATAGTTAAAGCTGTATAATTAGAACACTATCAAATACCACTAGTAATATTGAATATCTTGCATATAATTTATGCAAATTTGGGGGCTAAATGGGCCAAATGGGCCAGCCCATGGGCCGCCAAGAAAACCCATGGGCCGGCCCAATTGGGCCGGATATTCGAATTTTGGCCCATGGGCCGGCCCATGTACAGGTCTAGAGGGAACGCCTACATAGCCACGGCGCTCACTAGCTAGGCTGCATTAGGTTAATAGAATCTTGAATTGAATTGAATTGAATTGAATTGAATTGGTGCAAACAAAGCAAACCTGGCGCATGTGCCCTTCACTTAACCTCAACGCAACAGCAATCCAGCCTCTGTCACGTGGTCTATGATTTGCTAGCTCATTCAATTGCCCCTGTTGATTGTTTTTGTCGCGCCTAAATCATACTCGACAAATCAGTGTTATAACAGAGTCACTCGTCCGGGAATTATATAGAAATTTCATCAAGTCCATTGAAAGAAAAGCTCATAATATAATTACTCTAGAAACAGTCGAGCTAAGCCATGTTCGCCGCTGCCATCATCTAAACACCGAAGTGGACATAGGGAATCCAGTGGCTGTTCAGAGGCCTTTTTTCTGTAGTCCCCGAATCCAGATGAAAAGCTTTTCTTGCTTCCTGCCCCGTGTCAGTGTGGCCTGCGCGCAATGCTCGAAGGGCCCGGTGCAGTCCTTGGCAAACCGCTACGTCCGTCATCCCTTCATCCCGCAGGGTCTCATAGAGCACCCTCGCCACATCCACACAGTGCTTGTCTGAGACTTCCCAGAGTGTTCCAACAACATGTCGGAAACCAGCCAGTTGGAAGGCGCTTACAAGATGGATTCCCTCGTCTGCCAGTCTATCCGCCGTGTTGGCGCCAGTGGAACAAGCCGAGAGATACCCGAGAAACGGCGGGTTTTCTTGGAGCTTATAGTCGCGGAGGTCATCAACGGTCAGGGGGTCGGTGGTCCAATCCTCAAGAAGCAAACGACTTTGCGAAGGCTCAACTGGATCCGACAGCCCGTGTCCTGCGAAATGGAATATCCTACACCCCTGCAGATGTTTCAGAACGTTGTCTTTGCGACGTGCTGTCCTAATAGGCTTCAATTGAAGTGAGGGACAGAAGTCGTTCAACATCTCGACCTCTTTTTCAGCATACGGAAGAACTTGACTCGCGGGTAATCCTGGGGTTTCGTCCATGGCAACCAGGAGAGCATGGTCTGATAGGGGTCCTGTGGGTTGGCGAATATGGTTTCGGCGCCCAAATATCAACGACTTGATCGACGAAGCATAGGAGGACATGACTCGGTCTAAAACTGTATTTGAGGAGTCTTGCGTGTGGTATCCTGCTGCATGAAGTGGTAGCTGGCTGAGTACCCCCGTGGGAATCCACCAGACCCGAGGCCAACTGCTATCAGAGGGAGACTTGTTGAAACCGAGTGCCTCTAGAATCGGAAAACTGACGGTGTCCCAGAGCCACTCGAGCAGTGATGTTGTGTAGGAAGAGGCAGCGAGGGAAGATGATGGCAGATCTTGGGTTCGCTCTTGGACCTCTTGTAGTGTGAGGGTAGGTAATTCTAATGCCTTGATATGAGTAGACCTGGCTAGAACCCGCGGGGTACCCTCCACGACCCTGACCCTCACCTCCCCATGCGGAGGGTCAGGGTCCGAGACCTGGACCCGCGGGGAGGGTCGTACCCAGGCCGACCCTCATGAGGGTTACCCGCGGGGACCCTGAGGGTCGTCAAACATAACAAACAGGTAAAAGACGTGACTGGGCGTCAATTGCATAAATTATGTAGAAACAAGCTGTATTTCATTGTAATTGTAAACTAAAAACTTCATCATTGTATAGCCTTACAGGAGGATACACTCCTTATTGCATCCATAGGTTCATCCTCGAATAGGGGTTTAATTTTTGAATGGTTTACATTACATCTATAGCATAGTGTCTAGTCATAGTTCTAACAAGCCAAGAGTCAAACTATATACCCATCCAGTAGTCTCGACTTCTTCCGTATCCTACCTGATACACGATGCTGCGTATTAGGGAAGGATAATAATAGGTTCTCCTCCGGGTTCACAAATCCATCGGCATCAGAATCTTCCTCATCACCAGAAGTGACCGCAGGCCGCTTTCCAGCGGCAACCGCTGAGAGTGGCGGTACGTTTGGGGTTGTTTGCATAATTGATACAGCAGCCGGTGTATCAAGACGCAACTCAATATCCTCCTCCTCGTCATCACTGATAGCCTCGAAGGTATGTGTCTGGACATCAAGTGCTTCTGCCGAAGCTGCTATCTCATGGTCTAAGAGATACTCTTGGAGAATCAGCCGCTGCTCCTCCTCAATATCAAATTTTGTTGTACACATGTACAACATAATATCACGAATAGTCTCTGGATTCAACGACCCCCGGCGGTAGTGGCATACATCCCGAGCAGAGTTAAACAGACGCTCAACTCCGGCACCAGTTGCTGGAATTGACATGATATCACGGGCAATGCTTGCAAGAACAGGGAACTCTCTCTGATGATCTTTCCAGAAGATCCGAACAGATCCTTTAATAGTATCTAATCAGGTGAGGTTAGTTATATGATTCATCACATAGGCTTATTTACTTACCACTCTGGAGATATTTGGTGAGCTCGTCGTACTGTGGAGCAATTGATCGTGGTGAAGAATCACCGTCAAGGGCCCTCTCTAGCTCCGATTCAGTTATTAATAACTGGCTATTAGGCTGTATCATATCTGATGGTACACGTTGGCTATATCTCTCGAAAAGAGACTGAAGACTCTTGCGGTATTCTTTTCTATAGTCCTTTCCTATCTCAGGATCTAGGTCCCAATCACCTGTTGAAAAGAACTCCATCTTACTTGATGGCGCTAAGATCGTCCCAATTGCATAAAGATTACCTTCGATATCATCTGTCTCGCCGTAGTATTTCTTCAGTTTCTCCTTCGCAGCCTCAAGGGAGGAAAGCATCAGCTGTTTCCAGTGAACTTTCTTTCGACGAAGCTGACGAATTGATCTTTCAAGATGATCAAAAAGCTTGTTATAAATCCTAAAGATAAGGTGGATACTCGAGTCTTTAGTACGACAAACTAGCGTAGTAAGCGTAAAAAAGGGCTGGAGAATACAAAGTAGATAGTCAATCTGCCGCCACCCCTCAATACTCAATGCAAAATGGGTTTGGGTGTAGTCCTTGCAGTACTTGTCGAATATGTCATGAAGTCTTTTCGCCCGCCGAAGCATCAGAAATGTCGAATTCCATCGTGTACGGACATCCTGGATTGGGAGAAGCCTTATCCCAGCATTATTAGATTGAAGATTCAAGAAGGCTTCTTTGCGTTGAGGGCTTCCGTTGATATAAACTGCAAGGCCGCGAACCTATAAGGATTATTATCGTTATTGGATTATGATTCGTAAATAGAAGCTTTAAGCTTACCTTATTTAGAGTATCGGCGATCTCATGTTTCTGCTGGCGTGCACGAAGTGAATGTACACGATCTTCAGACCATTCCGTCTCGGTGTTGTTATTCTTCGGGGCGGCCTTAATTTTACCAAGTAAATCAGTTAGACTCAATTGAATAACATGCGCAAGGCAGGGCACTTGGACAATTGTAGAATCTGTCTCTTGCTGTAGCGTCTTAGTCGAATCATTCACCGCTGCGATAAGTGTCTTATTATTAGACGCATTATCAGTTGTCACCGCCAGTATACGGTCAGCGATCTGGTGCTTCTCTAGGATCTGGAGAACAACCCTACCGAGGTTCACTCCAGTATGAGATCCAGATATTGGCTCAAACCCAAGGAGAACCTCGCGATACTCCCATTCCTGGTCTAGGAAGTATCCTGTGATAGCCATGAATGCTTGCTGGAATGGAGAAGTCCAACAGTCAAGCGCAATCGACATTCTTGCACTAGATGGAAGCCGTTGTAGTGTCTCCTGTTGATGTTCTATAACAAAATCCTGAAGGCGCTCACGAATCACCTTTCTTGATGGAACACTTGGTAGTGTGGGTGCTAGCCGTGCGTAGGAAAGGAGGTCGTGGAATTCTTGATGTTCGACAAATAGGAAGGGTAAATGCGATACAGTGATCAGGTTTAGGATCTTCTGCTCCCATATTTGCTGGGTAAAGGTAGGCGCTGGTCTTCTCTCAGCCTAAATAATAGTGAAAATAGTATTAGTATTGATATTAAATATAGGCTGGTTCAAATATACCGCGTCACTAAGTAGTTGCTGGATATTACCCTTCTTCGGTATTCGCTGTCGGCACCTTAGCCCATCGAGATGTTTCTGCATCGATGAGGTTCCAGTATGGTTGGTAGTTGGGTGCTCAAGAATTGTACGGCACCGTTTGCATATAACGCCTGGCTTCCCATCTTTGGTATTTGCAACTTGTTGAAACCCTTTCCAGCACTCTGCACGACGGTTCACATCCCAGTTGATCCGCTTCTTCTTACCAAAGTCGGTTTCAAGCCACCACTGAATAAATTCTGCGGTCATTGTAGTTGTAAAGACAACGTACTCGTTGATACGGTCTGGTTTGATTCGTGTAAGAGTGTCTGGGGCCTGAGGTGCCACGCGCGATCGATGGGTTGGAAGGTCTGGAAGGTCTGGAACTGATCCAAACTGACTTTCGGATAGTAGTTGACTCTGGCTTTCGCGTTGGGATAGGGAATCGTTAGGAACAAGGTATTGTAGCGTGTCTAATTGCACCCCATCGAAGCTAGATGATGCGTAGACATCGGAGAGCTGCGACATGACAGATTTAGTAACTAGAAGATAGTACTATGACTGAGGAAGAAGAGAGTGAGGAACTTACTGTTTAATTTGTAGAAAAAGATACGCAAGATTCTTGGGGCATCCGTTCATCCCTGTTCTATATGCTAGAATTGATCTATCATCTTTTGTTTCCACATAGCTAGATCTGATTGGCTAGCATAATAAACGAACCTCAATGAACCTCAAATAGACCCTCGCTTACCCGCAGCGACCCTCAAATAGACCCTCGCTTACCCGCAGCGACCCTCAAGGGGACCCTCACTACCCGCATCGACCCTCAAAAGAGACCCTCAAGTTGAGAAAAAGTCTTGATCAGAACGACCAAGTCCAATAATTGCAATCTTTGAACCGGATTTACAACATATTTAGATTATTTGTCCTGAATTCTTGAAGAAAAAGTAATAGAAGAAGATATAACAGCTCAAATGATGTAAAAATGAGGTTATTTGAACCACGTTTTTATAGCTTTCTTAAAAAACAGTGGTTCTACAAATGAAGATACACATAGGTTACACTATCTGCAATATATATATTTACAACTTTACATGCATTTTTGTCGACAACCGCCACTGACCACCCCCTATATCGATATCATCAAATATTACTTGTAATCTGTGGGTGACCATGTCTACGGTTTACTTTTACATGAATATTTATTTATAATTCGCTATATTGATGGAGTATTCAGTAAAATATCTACAAATTGACGGAACAGCTATAAAAAACATAGATGAATCATCAATTTTATCCAACCGAAAGAGGTAAGGCGTCGAAAATTTATGCAAATGCGGGTCGTTGAGGGTCGCCGAGGGTCCGCATACTGAACCTCAACGATCCTCAGGGTAGGTTGAGGGTCGGAAGGTTGGAACCTCCCCTCAAGAGGGGAGGTTCGAGGTTCTGGGGTAGGGACCCATGCGGAGGGTCGTAGCCAGGTCTAGCCATAGATCGGGACCTGACCTGTCACACCGCTGCCATTATCTAAACACCAAAGTGGACGTAGGGGATCCAGTGGCTGTTCAGAAGCCTTTTTTCTGGAGTCCCCACGTTCAGATGAAAGGCCTTTCTTGTGTCCTGCCCGTGTCAATATGTCCGGCGCGCAACTCTCGAAGGGCCCGGTGCAGTCCTCGGCAAACCGCTACGTCCGTCATCCCTTCATCCCGTAGGGTCTCGTAGAGCACCCTCGCCACATCCACACAGTGCTTGTCTGAGACTTCCCAGAGCGTCCCAACAACGTGTCGGAAACCAGCTAGTTGGAAGGCGCTGACAAGATGGATTCCCTCATCTGCCAGCCTATTCGCCGTGTTGGCGCCAGTAGAACAAGCAGAGAGATATCCGAGAAACGGCGGGTTTTCATGGAGCTTATAGTCACGGAGGTCGTCAACAGTTAAGGGGTCGGTGGTCCAATCCTCGAGAAGTAAACGACTTTGCGAAGGCTCTGCTGGATCTGACTGCCCGTGTCCTGCGAAATGGAATACCCTACACCCCTGTAGGTGTTTCAAAATATTCTCCTTACGATGTGCTGTCCTAATTGGTTTTAACTGAAGTGAGGGACAGAGGTCGTCCAACATTTCGATCTCCTTTTCAGCATATGGAAGGGCTTGACTAGTGGTTAATCCGGGTGTTTGGCCCATAGCAACCAGGAGAGCATGGTCTGATAGGGGCCCTGCGGGTTGGCGAATATGGTGTCGACGCCCAAATATCAACGACTTGATCGAAGAAGCATACGAGGACATGACTCGATCCAAGACAGTCTCAGTGGATCCCCGCGTATGGTATCCTGCTGCATGAAGTGGTAGTTGGCTCAGTATGCCAGTGGGAATCCACCACACTCGAGGCCAATTGTTATCAGAAACAGGGTTGTTGAAACCGAGTGCTTCTAGAACCGGACGACTGACGCTATCCCAGAGCCACTCCAACAGTGATGTTGTGTAGGAAGAGGCAGCAAGGGAAGTTGATGGCAGATCTTGGGTCCGCTCTTGGGTCCGCTCTTGGACCTCTTGTAGTGTGAGGGTGGGTAATTCCAATGCCCTGATATAAGTGCGTTGGACAAGGAATGCATCGCAGCGATAAGAGCTTAAATTGACGACGACGATAGGGTCCGGATCTGCTGCGGCCATCAACTCATCTGGGGTCGGCGGCAGAAGAAAGTTGTGGAAGCCTGTCTTGGCACGAATCTTTGCTAGGGTCTCGCTAAATTTTTGGTCCGCGTCACGGCGTCGAGATGCTTGAGACTCCCAGGATAACGTATGATCAGTGGAGCTCAAAGTTATTGTTCGATCTACTGGCGAATCTAGCTCGTCTCGAAGAGATACGAATGTATCTGCCAGATCAGGGTGCTGTTGCTTGAGATCGGAGATATCCCCGCGCATTTCTATCAGCAGGCCAGCTATAATGGCGCGACCGAGTTCGAGAAGTTGCAAGGCGTGATGAGCTGTTTTTCCAGCATTAAGAGCAGCCGCAGCGGCCATAGAAGCCAAGCCAGCAAAGGCTGCGAGCATTTCCTGCTTGTCGGTGTGCTTTAAGGACCGTGGGCTCACGGCAGGAAGCAGGTCCACAGCCTCTCGGAGCAACTGACTCGATTCGTCCCAATTGGACCGCGAGGCCAGAATGCTGGCGGCATATTTGGCTAGGCTGATGCGGATAGACGGAGCAGCGCTACGGCAATTCCAGCCATCTTTATAGGCCGATAGGGCGCAGTTGAGGTCGTCCATCGATCCAGTCTGCTGGAATCGCCGACCAAGACAGTTTCCAAGGTTATTCAACCAACCAGCTCGGTTGGGGTGGTCATCAGGTGTAGAATTGACTGCCATATCGGTAACTTCGATAGCACGGTTGATGTCGTCCATTGATCCAGTCCTGTCAAATCGCATACTAAGCTGGTGCCCAAGATTGTTCAACATCCCAGCTCGGTCAGGGTTGTCTTCAGGTGTGGAATTCACTGCGATATCGGTAACTTCGATAGCACGGTTGATATCGTCTATCGATCCAGTCCGCTCGAATCGCCTACTAAGCTGGAGTCCAAGATTATTCACCGAACCGATTCGGTCAGGGTGGTCTTCAGGCCTGAAATTCACAGCCATCTCCGCGGCCTTAATACTATGGTTGAGATCTTCCATTGATCCAGTCCGGTCAAATCGCAAACCAAGAGAGACACCAAGATTATTCAGCCACGTGGCTCGGCTAGAGCAGTCTTCAGGTGAGGATTTCACTGCCATATTGGTAACTTTAATAGAACAGTTGAGGTCGTCCATCGATCCAGTCCGCTCGAATAGCCAACCAAGACAGTTTCCAAGACTATTCAACATCCCAGCTCGGTCAGGGTTGTCTTCAGGTGTGGAATTCACTGCCATCTTGGTAACTTCAATAGCACGATTGAGGTCGTCCATCGATCCAGTCCGCTCGAATCGTATACAAAGACAGTTTCCAAGATTATTCAACCTCCTAGCTCGGGCAGGGTGGTCATCAGATGTAGAATTTACTGCCATATCGGTGACTTCGATAGCACAGTTGAGGTCGTCCATCATTCCAATCCTCTCAAATCGCTTACCAAGCAGGCTACCAAGGTTTTTCAACCGATCAGCTCGATCAGGGTGGTCTTCATGTGTAGACTCCACTGCCATATCGGTGACTTCGATAGCACGGTTGAGGTCGTCCATCGATCCGGTCCGCTTGAATCGCGCACCAAGCCAGTGTCCAAGATTGTTCAACCAGGCGCCTCGGTCAGGGTGGTCTTCAGGTGTAGACTCCACTGCCCTGTTCGTAACTTCGACAGCACGGTTGATGTCGTCCATTGAACCAGTCCGCTCGAATCGACTACCAAGTTGGCTACAAAGATTGTTCAACCAACCAGCTCGGGCAGGGTGGTTATCAGATGTAGAATTTACTGCCATATCGGTGACTTCGATAGCACGGTTGAGGTCGTCCATCATTCCAATCCTCTCAAATCGCCTACCAAGCAGGCTACCAAGGTTTTTCAACCGATCAGCTCGGTCAGGGTGGTCGTCAGGCGTAGCGTCCACTGCCATATCCTCAACTTCAAGAGCACGGTTAAGGTCGTCTATCGATCCAGTCCGCTTAAACCGCCTACCAAGCTGGCTACAAAGATTATTCAACCAACCGGATCGGTCAGGGTGGTCTTCAGGTGTAGATTTCACTGCAATAAACACAACTTCGACAGCACGGTTGAGGTCGTCCATCGATCCAGTCCGCTCGAATCGCCAACCAAGACAGTTTCCAAGATTATTCAACCAACCAGCTCTGCCAGGGTGGTCGTCAGGCGTGACATCCACTGCCATATCCACAACTTCGACAGCACGGTTGAGGTCGTCTATTGATCCGATCCGCTCAAAGCGCCTACCAAGCCAGGTACCAAGATTATTCAACCGACCAGCTCGGTCAGGGTGGTCTTCAGGTGTAGAGGCCACTACCATGCTCACAGCTTGAACAGCACAGGTCATGTCGTTCATTGATCCAGTCCGCTCAAATCGCGCATTAAGCCAAATACCAAGGTTGTTCAGCCAATCGGTTCGGTCAGGGTGGTCTTCAGGTGTGGAATTCACTGCCATATTGGTAACTTCGATGGCACGGTTGAGGTCTTCCATCGATTCGGTCCGCTCAAATCGCCTACCAAGCCAAGCACCAAGATTATTCAACCCCCTGGCGCGGATAGGGTGGTCTTCAGGTGTGGAGTCCACCGCTATATCCGCAATTTCGACAGCACGGTTGAGGTCGTCAATCGATCCGGTCCGCTTGAATCGTGTATTAAGCCGGACACCAAGGTTATTCAATTGATCGGCTCGGTCAGGGTGGTCATCAGGTGTGGAATTCACTGCCATATTGGTAACTTCGATAGCACGGTTGAGGTCGTCCATCGATCCAGTCCGCTCGAATCGTGTATCAAGCCAGATACTAAGGTTGACCAACGCCGTAACGTCTGGTATAATATGTACGATGTCTTCCATCATACGTATGGCATTCTCGAGCTCTCCTATGACGCCAGTTCGCCGATACTTTTCAGCTAATTGTGCTGCGCGACCTACTTGGATGTCTATTTCGTCGTATGTGGACCCCTGGCTGTACCTTGATCGTTATGTATATGTCAGCCGTTGGTCTTTCTAACTAGAGCCGTTACCCTTCGACAATTTCTTTCTTTACGCTTCTCGCAAGCAAGGATTTGGCAACAACGCCATTGTGATCTCATGGAGAGTTTAATAAACTGCGGCTTACCGATTCCTGGAGACCATATTTTCAACGTCTTCTGAGATGATCCTGATCTGGCTCATCCAAGCGGACGTCATGTCGAGAATTTGAAATCGTCGAGCACGATCGGGGTAGCCTATCGGTACTTCTGTAATCCATCCTTCTATTCGCCGAATGGCTTGTTGAAGGTGCTCAGTTGAATATGTCCTAGTGAAGATGAGGAAACAGATGTAGATATATAATTCAATTTGATCGTCATTTGCGGGTTCTTCTTGCAACTCTGCGAAAGAGCAAAGTTCTTCATCGTTCATGTCTCGTAGTAACGAAGCCATCTCCGCCTCGACATTGAAGAGCCCAATGTCAGCCGAATAATTTGCTGCCATTAGTGTGGTTATTGTGGTATCCGGAACGATTGGTCCAAACACGGACTGTGACATGGGCAGTTTTAAGCTGATATAACCAAGGGATATATGGCGAGTCACAGATGTATCTAATTTGACAGACCATACAGGGTCAGGCGCGTACAGTGGCGCGTACAGCGACGCGTGCAGTACTGCGGGGCCAGCTCCAGGCTTCCACACCAAATCTACGGTCAGACACCTTTTCCATTTTTGCCTAGAACCGAACCAGCCAGCCATGGATCATATAATGAAAACACCAACTGAACATCTCGCCTGGCCTTGAATTTCGAGTGACCCTGACACGGCCACCAGACCTAACACCAGTCAATAGCCTGCTGCTAAACCGTCATATTCCCCAAGAGTCTATCGGGCTCGGCCCCCTTTTCCTCGACCCCCCAGTACCTTGGCCAGGACTTCTGCCAGCCTTCCTTCCAAACGCATCCAGGAGACCAATCGTTAGACGCCACAAATCCCGATCATACCCCCATCCATCCCTGATGTGCTCAGCTGAGCCTGCACAGCCTGCACTCGGTCGCGCCCTCGGTTCCTCTACGATCCACGACTTTGCGCTTCAGCTGGGGTTCTTTCCTGTGTATATTCTGTCTTCTAATTCGATCTTCCAGGGGTATCTCTATCTATGTGTTGTACGACTTATCGTACGCTCTTGAGTTCTAGTTGGATTTCCTTCTAAGAGAAATGGGGTCCGCCAAGCCTCGGGACGGCAATCTCGTTCCGCAATGCAACTGCTCACACACCATTAATCTGGCGTATCGAGATGCAAAAAGACACGAGAGCTCTTACGAACATGGACGCAGGCCTGAGTACCCTATGAATAGCGTGGAGGGACTCGGATGAACACTTAACCGAGGAGTCCTATAGATGGCTAGATCTCGATGGATTTACTGTGGTTAGACATCGTCGATGTCATTCGTTCCTTTCCGTACTAGTCCACACAGTATTCTATTCGCCTATTAGTTCCCCGCTTATTTCCTTCTGAAATTCACTTGGAGGCAGCTTACCTCAACAATCGATTTCACCGCCATCTCTAGCCATGAGCCAGGTTGACAGGGTGCCTGATAAATGGGCGGTGCTGATAGGGGTTGACTATTACGAGCATCCCGAACAGCCCATAACCACACCACGACACGACGGTCGAGGCAATAAAATTGAGTACAAAATCCTTCATGGTTGTGTCAACGACGTCCTTGCAGTTGAGCAATACCTTGTCGACACAATCAAGGTCGACCCGCAGCACATAACGAAGTTGCTCGCCCCCTGCCCAGGACGAAAATATTTGTCACAGCTTCCTGTGGACAGCTACCGAGATGCTTCCTATGATAATATGGTTGACGCTTTGAAAGTACCCAGGGGTGCTAAGAGGGGTGACTTCATCTATATCCATTTTTCCGGCCACGGGGCCCGCGCTACGACCATTTTCCCAGAATTGAAGGACGGCGGGGCTGACGCTGTGGATGAAGCTCTTGTGCCAAGTGACATCACCCGTGGCGGAAACTACCTACGAGACCTCGAGATAGGTGTTCTTCTACAAGCTATGGTAGACGCCGGTCTAGTTGTGACGGTAATCCTTGACTGTTGCCACTCTGGCGGGGCTATTCGGGGTGACGACGATCCAGAGATTGGCGAAACTCGAGGCATTCCGAATATATACAAATCAGACCCGGAACGAGATCTACCCAGGACTATAGACAGTATCATGAAATTCGGACGCCAGCCATCGTGGATGCACACTCCACAGGGCTTCGTGGTTCTTGCTGCGTGCCAAGAGCTCGAGACGGCCAAGGAGACGACTGATAAAGACTATACCCACGGTATCCTAACGTACTGGCTTCTGAGTATTCTTCGTAACAGCCCCGTGGAAATCTCCTCGCAGGCGATCTACGAGCGGATCTGTGCCAAGGTGCAAGACAGCAGTCGAAACCAGACTCCGTACCTCGTAGGAGACAGAGACAGATTCTTCTTCAGCAAGAAGCTCCGGTCGCGTGTCTACGCTTTAGCAGTCAGAAAAGCGCATGTTGAGCCGTACAGAGTACCTATTGACCGCTTAGTGTATCTATCTGGTGGAAAGCTTCATGGAGTGGAAGAAGAGTCTGAGTACGCCATCCTGCCCTGGGGCTTCGACCTTGGCAAGAGGTTTGATGACACCGACATCCTTGGCCGAGTCCAAGTAAAAAAAGTGATGCCGGCGACATCCCTCGCGCTTTTCATCTTGCCGTGTGGGGTGCGTTGGGATGATATTGAGGATGGGTGCGCTGCTGTTCTGCAGAAGTTGCCCATCGCGAAAAAGTCCACAGTCCATTTTGTCACACCTGACGAAAATTTGAGGGTTAATTTCAAAAAAGAATGGGATCAACTTCATGGCGACCGAACTTGGCTTAAAGTCAATGAAGACAATAGCAGCCCATTCTTCACCATCTCCGTCGACGATAGCGGCAATTTCAAAATCCGCGACTGGTCGGGCAATCTCACTGCGGTCATCGAAAACGCTCTGAAATCACTGCCGGCCGCGAACGCTGACAGTATGAGGGCAGTCATACGTCGCCTGGAACACCTTACGAGGTTCAGAATTACAAAAGAACTGGCCAATCCAGACATAGGGCCCGGCACACCATCCGGTTTAATCAGAGTCGAGGTAGATACTGTATCTGAGGGCCAGAGCGTGTCGGGACGGTGGTTCCCCCCTGCGGAGATCGGAGAGTGGGTGCCAGGAGTTTATGAGGTGCCCGAGAAGACCATGTTCCGCATCGCAATTAAGAATCAGTCCAGCCGACCCTTGGGCTGTGTAGTCCTGGACTGCGGTGCAGAGATCGGCATCGAGCACGTTTTTCCACGAGGCGAACCTTATCGCATCCTCCATCCGGGCGACCACGAGGACGCGTTGTTCTGGATGGAGATCGCATCAGAAATGCGAGTATCAGCGCAGGGCGGTATTCCCGTTGTTGATACATTAAAGGTCTTCGTGTCCGATCCTCCAACGAATATTGACTCGCTCAGGCTCCAGGGGCTAAAGGAGATGGAAGACGGCAGACGGGGCGGTGACGGTGAGATGTGGGCTCAGAACTTGGAGGATCTCTTGAGCTTCCTCAACACGAGCCGGCTCGCAAAATCTCTTCCGGCTCGCGGTGCCCTGAAAGCCGACTGGGAGACGTTCAACGTTAAAATTCGAATCAAGCCATCCTCCAATTAGAGATTCCAGTTGTTCCAAATGATAAGATGCATTGCGGCCGTCACCAGCCTTGTCACTTTATTACCATTTGCGAACATTCTACCTAGCTGGAAGTCACTTTCCTGTCCAGTCATTCTTCTCTTGTTTGCCCCACTACATTTATTATTTAACTCAAAAGACAGAAGACCTTGCTGATTCTACATAGTGCAAAATTGGCAATATAATCCGCCTATAAATATTGGCATATATGTTAGGGGTTTCGTAAAGGATTACAACTTCTAAATAGTATGCGTTGTTCATTGCACAAGACGAATTATTTCTCACGTCTGCTAGAGAGGATGAGAATTCATTCATTCTCTTCCAATATCTGCATCCACCCGATAAAGAATTTGCTCGCCGTCCAACTCAGAACTTTCATACGTACCCATCAAGTCTGGCAGTGCAAGGGGATCGGAAACTTCTGCATCTACCCCATCATTGGCATTTCCTTCAGGCTGCCCCGCCCTGACGGCAAGGTATGATATCCATCGGTTACCCTTTTCCAGGTAGGCTTTATCGACTTTCTGCGTTGTAAACCACGAGAAATGAATTTTGCGGTACTGGACCGCGAACACCTGTTCCCCGATAGCCGTGTATCCGACCCCCTCATTGGACGACTTTACCAGCGATATGCTGCTCGAGATATCGAGGCCCGAGACTAGGGGGGATGGGGGCCGGCACGCCAGCCGCACTAGTGATCACTGCTGCGGGTAGGGATGCGGTCATGCCGAGGTTGGTTTCGCGGTGGCGCTCCAAATCCACGCGGCCGTCGATCATTGTCTTGAACCCACAAACGAGGTATACAGTGCTGGAGGAACGCCGTGATTCCTTGTCTAACCAGGCACGCACCCTGGTCTGCCGGCATGCGGCACTGAAGTAAGCGCTAGCATTTCGTAGGTGGTGGGTGACGCAGTGCGTGGCGGTGACGGTCGCTGAGAAGCTAGTTGGGGCCGAGGGCGCGACCGAGAGCAGGTTCAGCAGTCTCAGCTCTAGTTGTGTGCCCCGGCTTCGTTGGAGGACTTCGTGGAAATTCTCAACCCGTTGAGTGGCCACGTCAGGGATGAACGGAGGGGCGATGGGATTTCTGGCGTCTAACGATTGGTCATTGGGATCTGCTGGAAAGGACGGCTGGCAGAAGTCCTGGTCAGGGTACTTGGGGTCCAGAACAAGACGGCCGAGCTCAATGGATTCTCGGGGAATAGGATGGTTGAGCAGTAGACTAGTGAGTGACATTGTGCCTAGTGGCCGTGTCAAGGTTGCTTGCATTAAGCCAGAAGAAAATGGTAGGTCGGTGCCCTCATTATATGGCCCGTGGCTGGCTGATCTGGTTCTTGGTGTGCATAAAAGCTGTCTCTGACGTGGTCACTGCAGATTCGGCAAGAAAGCCTGGTCTTGACCACACTGTTACCCGCCTGCTCAACAAGAGTCTGCGTGATTCAGCAAGCTCGTCACTACCCTGCGCCCCGGTTAGAGGGCGCTAGGCTATATACGGCTAGCGATAGTACTCAACAAAGGCCCCGGAAATCTAAAGTTAGTGTAGGGAGGGAGATTTCGGAAAAGAAAGTCTTGTGTGTCAGGGGGTTATTTATTCTCGATATTCACTGAATATCTCGTAGTTGTACCATTTTCAATCCCCCCTAGAACGAAAATTGTTCCCTATAATTGTTCGAATACTGCAGCAGGAATAGGAGAGAATTATCGCCAAAATAGCATCTTCGGTGAACGAGAGGCTAATCGTCCGACAAAAGACACAACAAATGCTGCACCATACGTTTCCACATTGGCCAGCTTTGTCACGATGCTCGGTAGTCGATTTCAGCGGACCAGATCGATGGACGACCTCAACCATGCTGTCAAAGTTGTGGATATGGCAGTGAAATCCACGCCTGAAGACCATCCTGAGCGAGCCGGTTGGTTGAATGATCTTGGTATCTGGCTTGGTGCGCGATTCGAGCAGACCAGATCGATGGATGACCTCAACCGTGCTATCGAAGTTGCGGGTATAGCAGTAAATTCCACGCCTGAAGACCATCCTGACCGAGCCGATTGGTTGAGTAATCTTGGTACCTGGCTTAGTATGAGATTCGCGCAAATCAGATCGATGGATGACCTGAACCGTGCTATCGAAGTTGTGGGTATAGCAATGAAATCCACGCCTGAAGACCACCCAGACCGATCTCGTCGTTTGAGCAACCTTGGCACCTGGCTTAGTACGAGATTCGAGTGGACCAGATCAATGGACGACCTTAACAGTGCTGTCAAAGTCACAGATATGGCAGTGAATATGACGTCTGAAAACCACCCGGACCGAGCCCGTCAGTTGAGTAACCTTGGTATCTTGCTTAATACACGGTCCGAGCGGACTGGCTCAATAGACGATCTCAACCGTGCTGTTAAAGTTGCGGGTATGGCAGTGGATTCGACGCCCGAAGATGACCTAGACCGAGCTAGTTTATTGAACAACCTTGGTAACCGGCTTGGTAGGCGATTTGAGCGGCTTGGGTCGATGGACGACCTTGATCGTGCTGTCGAAGTTGTGGATATGGCAGTGAATTCCACGCCTGAAGACCATCCTGATCGAGCCCATCGGTTGAGCAACCTTGGCAACCGGCTTGGTAGGCGATTCGAGCGGACTGGATTGATGGACGACCTCAACCATGCTGTCGAATTCGTGGATATGGCAGTGAAATCCACGCCTGAAGACCATCCTAACCGAGCCGGTTGGTTGAACGATCTTGGAACCTGGCTTGGTACGCGATTCGAGCGTACTGGATCAATAGAAAACCTCAACCATGCTGTCGAAGTTGCGGGTATAGCAGTAAATTCCACGCCTGAAGATCATCCTGACCGAGCCCGTCGGTTGGAAAATCTTGGTACCTGGCTTGGCAGGCGATTCGAGCGAACTGGGTCGATAGACGACCTCAACCGTGCTGTTGAAGTTACCAATATGGCAGTGAATGCTACGCCTGAAGACCACCTGAGACCGAGCCGCTTCGCTGAGCAACCTTGGTATCTGGCTTGGTACGCGATTCAAGCGCATGGGTTCAGTGGACGACCTTAACCGTGCTGTCGAGGTTGCAGGTGTAGCAGTAAATTCCACGCCTGAAAACCACCCAGATTGGGCCCGTCGGCTGGACAACCTTGGTATATGGCTTGGTAGGCGATTCGGACGGACGGGATCGATGGACGACCTTAACCGTGCTATCAAAGCTATGAATATGGCGGTGAATTCCACGCCTGAAGACCACCCAGACCTAGCCCGTCGGCTGGGTAATCTTGGTATCTTGCTTGGTAGACGATTCAAGCGGACTGGATCGATGGGCGACCACAACCGTGCTGTTGAAGTTACAGATATGGCAGTGAATTCCACGCCTGAAGACCATCCTGACCGAGCCAGTTGGTTGAATAACCTTAGTATCCACCTCAGTAAGCGATTTGAGCAGACTGGATCGATGGATGACCTTAACCATGCTATCGAAGTTGTGGATATGGCAGTGAATACCACACCTGAAGACCACCCAGACCGAGCCCGTCGGCTGAACAACCTTGGTAACCGGCTTAATACGCGATCTGACCGGACCGGATCAATGGACGACCTCAACCGCGCCCTATCAGCCTACAAAGAAAGCTGGAATTGTTGTAATGCCGCTCCGTCTATTCGTATCCGCCCCGCCCAAAATGCTGCACGAATTCTGGCCTCGCAGGCGAATTGGGAAGAATCTAGCCGGTTGCTGCAAGAGGCTGTAGACCTGCTCCCTGCTGTGAGCCCACGATCCTTGAAACACACAGACAAGCAGAGCATGCTTGGGGCCTTTGCCGGCCTGGCTTCTATGGCAGCTGCTACTGCTCTCAATGCCGGCAAAAAAGCTGATCATACTTTGAAACTTCTTGAACTCGGTCGCGGCGTCATTGCTGGTCTATTACTTGAATTGCGCGGAGATATTTCTGATCTCAAGCAGCAGCACCCTGATCTAGCAGACGAATTCATGTCTCTTCGAGACACGCTAGATTCCCCAGTAGATCAAAAAGCAATTCTTAGTTCGACTGATACTATGCCATCATGGGAGTCTCAAGCATCACTACGTCGTGACGCGGACCAGAAATTAAGCGAGACCCTGAAGAATATTCGCGCAGAGTCTGGTTTCCACAACTTTCTTCTTCCGCCGACTCCAGATGAGTTGATGGCCGCAGCAGATCCAGACCCTATCGTCGTCATTAATTTAAGCTCTTATCGCTGTGATGCATTTCTCATTGAACGCGCTCGCATTAGGGTATTGGAATTACCTGACCTGAAAATGAAAGATGTCCAGGAGCGGACCCAAAGTCTGTTATCATCTTCCCTTGCTGCCTCTTCCTACACAACATCACTGTTGGAGTGGCTCTGGGATAGCGTCAGTCGTCCGGTTCTAGAAGCACTCGGTTTCAACAACCCTGTTTCTGATAACAATTGGCCTCGAGTGTGGTGGATTCCCACTGGCATACTGAGCCAACTACCACTTCATGCAGCAGGATACCATACGCGGGGATCCACTGAGACTGTCTTGGATCGAGTCATGTCCTCGTATGCTTCTTCGATCAAGTCGTTGATATTTGGGCGTCGACACCATATTCGCCAACCCGCAGGGCCCCTATCAGACCATGCTCTCCTGGTTGCTATGGGCCAAACACCCGGATTAACCACTAGTCAAGCCCTTCCATATGCTGAAAAGGAGATCGAAATGTTGGACGACCTCTGTCCCTCACTTCAGTTAAAACCAATTAGGACAGCACATCGTAAGGAGAATATTTTGAAACACCTACAGGGGTGTAGGGTATTCCATTTCGCAGGACACGGGCAGTCAGATCCAGCAGAGCCTTCGCAAAGTCGTTTACTTCTCGAGGATTGGACCACCGACCCCTTAACTGTTGACGACCTCCGTGACTATAAGCTCCATGAAAACCCGCCGTTTCTCGGATATCTCTCTGCTTGTTCTACTGGCGCCAACACGGCGAATAGGCTGGCAGATGAGGGAGTCCATCTTGTCAGCGCCTTCCAACTAGCTGGTTTCCGACACGTTGTTGGGACGCTCTGGGAAGTCTCAGACAAGCACTGTGTGGATGTGGCGAGGGTGCTCTACGAGACCCTACGGGATGAAGGGATGACGGACGTAGCGGTTTGCCGAGGACTGCACCGGGCCCTTCGAGAGTTGCGCGCCGGACATATTGACACGGGCAGGACACAAGAAAGGCCTTTCATCTGAACGTGGGGACTCCAGAAAAAAGGCTTCTGAACAGCCACTGGATCCCCTACGTCCACTTTGGTGTTTAGATAATGGCAGCGGTGTGACAGGTCAGGTCCCGATCTATGGCCAATATAGGCTTGGCCTGTGCGATGTGTTCTATCAGTTCCCCGGGAAATTTACTCGCCGCGGGTCACCCCATATTCTTACACTTCTCCAAGCTTCAGATAAACTGTATGTTAGCACCGCTCAATTGAAAAATTAATTTGGCTGTAAGTTAGCCTGGGAGTAGCGGTGCTCGAATGTGCAGGTACCAGGTGGGCATTTCATCACACAGGGCATTTCATGTCCCCGGGATGGGGGTTAGTACGTTGCAGATAGTAGATGGCCTATTTCATCCTTTCTGTCCTGTTATATCCAAATGTAAGTTAGTTGCGATGGGAGCATCTCTCCTTCTCTTCTCTTCTCTCTCTCAGCTTAATACCTTCGTTCAATACTACTGCTATCTTTCAAAACATCTGAGTCCTTACACCAGTGAAAACATGTAAACGAGGCCCCTGGCCTTTAATCAATTTGAAAACTCGTCCTTGCAAATCCTCGGGCGCACGACTGAGCCGTTAAACTAAACCCCAATTATCCAAGATCGCCATCCTGGCCCCTCAATGTCCGCTTCATTCTGTCAGCCGCAGCTGAGAACACGAACAGGGCGCAGAACCCTGTCAGCCGAGATGATGATCTTATCAGAATTGGACGAGGCAATGGGCATTGCTGAGTAAATTATCATGGTTGACAGCGACTCTGTTGATTCTGGCCAATCGCAAGAAGTAGGAAAGGCCCTGTCCACTGAATTGGTTTCATGCCCTCTTGGAGGCGCAGCAATGACTGAGCCGTAATTCTGCCTTGCCCTGTGTTAGACTCCTGCACCTCGCCGTCATGCTGACATTGGCGTTCATTGGGGCGATTCAAATGAGACGACCGTGGCCCTGTCCATTGATTTAAGTTCATTTTCGATCTCGAAAAGAGAGCCACTCTTTAGCTGAGCCGTGATTTTTCCTTGCTATGTTCTAGATTCTTGCACGTCGTTGGAGTGTTGAGCCCTACATTTATATCAGCAAATAGAGACAGACGACCATGGTCGCGCCCACTTATTTGATTCCAAAACAATGTTCAAAATTACTGGGTCGCAAGTCTCGTAGGAAGCTGAGGCTGAGCCATGAATTTTCCGAGTATCGACCAACCCCCTGGAAAAATATCGAGATAAATTCATGTTCGAGATGAATTCATGGCGAATACCAATGAGGAGCCTGTTCCAATTAGCCAGTCAGATCATACGAAGGAGACCATGCCCATTAATTCAGTTTCATTTTCGAAGCTAAGCCACGATGTGGTGACGAATCGACCGAGTCATAACTTTTACTCGCTAGGCAGCTGGCAATCAGGCAAGTGCAAAAGCAGTTTTTGATGCCGAGTGATCCACGGTGGCCAATCAACATAGGTGGATGTAGCTCTGTCCGCTGATTCGGTTTCATTCTGAGCCGTCTTCTCCGGTTAGTAGCATGAGCCATAAATTTTCGGGGTGTCTGGCGATGCCCTTCACAATCTTAGAAAGTGGGATCTGAAGTTTGACAAACCGCTGTTGAAAGGCGAGGAGTAGAAGCCCTAAGGTGATTGCACATGAGAAATATACAGGCTTTTGGTTCCAATCAGAGAAAAAGGTGAACATAATTACTGGCAATTTGTTGTACGATAGATAACTCTAACCAACGCTCCTACTACGAACGTCACACTGTAAGCATATGCCATTGGCCACGTAGCTAAGAGATAATTATATTTCTATAGTAGTTACTACCAGGTGACGAGCTTCTATTCTCATGCCGGTGACACAGGCAGTCAAGCTAATATCGAACAGACCTCGTTAAGACTCAAATTCGTTAAGACTCGAAGAGACCACCTGGAAAGACCTCGTCAAGGCCTGGCCACGGGCAACCTTTGACGCAGCTCCTCTTCTTGACACAAACACCATCAAGACACGGGCATCCTCCTGGGAGAAATACGGGCGTTCTGGAAGGGATTGGTATTTGGCGGGTGGCAAATAATGGACCTCGTAAAGGCGTTGCCACGGGCAAACCATCAATCCTGCTCAGACATCAGGGAACAAGCTTGGTTAGTGGAAAGTGGCCGACGTACACTGCCGGACGGAGCCTGCACAATGGCAGCCACTGCGACAGGGTCGGGGCCTGTTAAGAGACTGTCTGTATGGCCCGAGAGGACGGATGCGCGTGTCAGTGTACAAAGAGTCGGGAATCAACTACCTCACTCGCACTGAGGGCCTGAGATCAGCTAAGCTGGTTGAAGCGGTGTCGTCCTAGTTGATTGGCCCGTGATGTATGCTTAAGGAGTAAACTGAGAGACACCCAGGGCGAGAGGCTTTGTCCACCTCAAAAGGCCAGAAGCCTCGTTTATTGGGTGAAAAACTGGGGTAGTGGTCTATGCAAGTAGGCCTGCCGAAGCTACTTTATGTTTCTTGGCCCCGGTGGTGGACTATGTCTCCAATGTCTGGATGCACACTTTCAAGAACAAGAACATCGGGCCGATCAACCGGGTTCAACGAGTCGGAGCGCAAGCGATTGTTGGGACATTCCTCACAGTCGCGACCAGCGTAGCGGAAGCGGAGGCTCACATCGCCACAGGGCAACACCGGCTCTGGAGACGAGCTGTGAAGATGTAGACAGACATGCATAATCTACCAGCAACCAATCCCCTCCGCAGGAATACAGCTCATATCAGAAAATTCAGAAGATACCACCGGTCGCCCTTGTATCAGGTCGCAGACGCGCTGAAAAGCATCGAGATGGAAACACTGGAGACCATCAACCCATTCACATTGGCACCATGGGAGGAACGTGCGCAGGGCGATGGTCATGAAACCCCAGAGACACAGACCGAAGCAGGTGGAGTCATGCGGATCGCGGTCCGCAGTTCGGCGCGGAACGAGCTGGTTGGATTTGGAGTGGCGATCGAGAAGCAGCCACCTCGTTATCGAAAACTGAAACTGAAGACTTTCCCTGTCACACTGGGCGCCAGAGCAGAACAGAATCCGTACTCCGGAGAGCTGGCGGCGGTGGCACACTCATTGAGTACGCTCGCGGGATTTGTAAGGACTCAGATGCTTTGAAAGATAGCAGTAGTATTGAACGAAGGTATTTAGCTGAAGAGAGAGAAGAAGAGAAGGAGAGAAGGAGAGAAGCTCCCGTCGTAACTATCTACATGAGCGGCTGTCTGGGCCACGTGCTTGGTCACGTGCCAGACACCGAAGGCTTCAATTGTTACACTCATGAAGGAGCGCCACGACACGCGCCAAGCCCCCTCGAGCACGCGAGGAGGTGACGCAGGCCACACGTCCTCACACGAGGGGAATGTCACATGGGGTCGAACAGGGTGGAGCACGTGAGATACAGAAAACTGGTATCACGTGGTGCGAAGTAATCTATATAACTGTCTTACTGTTGCCAAAAATGCTAGCATCGCGCAGACCCTTGGCTAATACTCTCTTTCTGTTCAACCTCAATCTTTTGGAAGCGAGGTTCATTAGAGTGGTAGGTTCAACTATTTTCGATTAATAGTCATGAAATCAATCTGAGGAGGAAGATTTGTTGGAAAGTAACACATAAAGCAGAATTGCTAGGTAAACATCTGATACTGAAGTATCTAGCTTTCTAGGCATGCATATTAAGGCCCTCCATTTCCCATTCCAACATTATCTCAGAATTAGATAAGGTATTCGGATGGTTGACGCCTATTTTTTGCTTCTGCTTCGTTAAGTAATCTCATAGCAAATGGATGGCTTCATCATTACGACCTGAAGATTTCCAGGTGAAAGCAAGATTGCCGATACTCGTCAGTGTGGAGGGATGGTCATCGCCGAGCTTCGCCTTGCGAGCCTCCATCACCTGCACCTCGAGCCTTTCGGCTTCATCATATAGGCCCTGACATTTGCATGTCAACACTAGGTTAGCTATACTGGTTAACGTAGAGGGATGTCCGTCGCCAAGCTTCATCTTGCGAGCTTCCATCACCTGCATCTCGAGCCTCTCAGCCTCCTCCCACCGGCCCTGATTCCTGTATGTCGACGCTAAATTGGCCATACTGGTCAGGGTGGAGAGATTGTCATTGCCAAGCTTCGCCTTGCGCGCCTCCATCACCTCCACCTCGAGCCTCTCGGCTTCCTTCCAATTTCCTTCAAGGCACCATGCTGTTGCTAGCATCGCAGTGCTATCAAGGGTCTCTTCATCATCTGGACCCAGCAGTTTTATCCTCTGTTTCCTTGATTCCGACGCCATATCCCTCAAGTCCGTGAGAATACCGCTACGCAACGCGTACCATGCACCGTTATAAAGCAGCGTAGCCCAATTTCGTAGAGTATCATCTGATTCTGGCCGCTGCAACATCGCCGCTTTCACATGAGGAAATAGCGGTCGGCATACATCCCAGTTTTCGTATTAGCCAGCGGGGAACTTGTGGTAGAGGATACTGATAAATTTTTCCTTCCATTGTTCCGTTTGACCATAAGTTTTCAGCCATGAACGTGTACTCAGTTGCACTAGTCGATGCATAGTGAGAGAAATGCCATTTGTGCTAAGACAGATAAACGAAAAACTCCGGAGAGTTGCAATATCATGTTCAAAATCATCGATCAAATCAGATCCGGAAATCTTCCCATCATCACTAGAGTCATTCAAATTCTCCAACCTTAAGAAATGGCTGCTCTCGGGCTGTACCCGAAGAAGTTCTTCTGGAATCCTTTGCCGATCGAAAAAGCTCATGAGAGAAAGTAAACTTGCCGCTGACGGTTTTGTTCGGCGAATGTAATCAAATGATATTTGCCATATCGCTAATATTGAGTTCTTCGCCCCCCAGTCCCGGTATAGGTGACCAGCCTCGGTTTTAAGAAGCTTGATTGCTTCACGGTCACTCTTTTGGAAGTATCTCAGATACTGGGATACCGAACAACTAGGTGCTCG